ACTACCGTGCTCGTGGATCGCCCAGACCACTGAAGTGCTCGGGGACTGCTCCGACCACTAACGTGCTCGGAGACTGCTCCGACAACTGGTGTGCTCGGGGGATGTCCCGACCACTGATCGAAGAATTGTTCTCCTCGGCTACATGTGATTTGTACTCACATACAGTTGAGAGACTTTTATTTAGACCTTACTACAAGGCTCATACTTCACCTTCCAGCAAGCTCGGGGACTACATCGGTACGATGCACCTGCCGGTGCATCTCGTATCGCCTGTACGACGATTAGGTTCTCAACTTAATTGGGATTTCTTTTTAGACCCTGGCACCACGTGCTTACTTCACCTACTACCAGGCTCGGGGACTAAGTGGGCACACTTCACCTTGTGGTGAATGTGTTTGTTTTTCGACCACTAGGCCTCTGATGATCAAAGATGCTACGCTTCAAGACGCACTTACATTTCTTTTCAGAAATATAAGTGGGCACACTTCCCGGGACAGAAATCTTTTTCTTTTTTCTTAAGAGCACCATACATTCTTCGGACAACCTATTTCTCCGGCGATGACGGTGGTCGGAAGATGTCAAGGACTCGGGCATAACTTGTCGGAGAAGGTCGAAATGGCGTGTCGCAGCATAATACATGGTGCTCGGGGACTAGCTGTGGGGGTATTAACCCCTATACCCTTACGGCTAAGCTTGGGCCGACCCGGATCGATGGGTCCGGTCCATCCGAAAGACGACGCGTGGCCCAGCCAACCTGGTTGGAGTCCTACGCAAGGAGTTAAGGCGGATTTGGCGATCAAGCAGGATCCTGGTTGGTTAGAATAGGAATCCTTATCCGGCCACATATGGCAATTATAACTGGCTAGGATTAGTTTCCAGATCTGTAACCCTGCCCCCGGACTATATAAGGCGGGCAGGGGATCCCTCTAAAAATCTCTCTCATTAACATACAACAATACAATTAGACGCAGGACGTAGGTATTACGCCTTCTTGGCGGCCGAACCTGGATAAAACCTCGTGTCTGTCTTGCGTCACCGTCTTGTTTGTGGCTTGCGCATCTGTCTACCGATAATCTACTACCTTGGGCATACCCCTAGGTAGACTGCCGACCATATTTCGTCGACAACTACTATCATCACTCTTAGTTACCTTGCGTTCACCCTTGGCCATAAGGCATAGGTGTGTAGAGGATGATGGCGATGGTGGCGGTGAGGATGCAAGATCAATAGCAATGGCGGCCATCTTCTCATTGTTACTCTCATCATCGGATGATCCACTTGATGAATCAATATCCGTGAGCCAATCACCGACAATATAGGCCTTGCCACTCTTCTTCTTCTTGTAGAGGTCTCTCTTTTTGCCATCTCTCTTCTTGTATGGCTTGTTCTTTTTCTTTTCATCTTCATCACTTGAATCATCTTTCTTGCCCTTGTTCTTGAACTTGTCTTTCTTGGGCTTTGTGCATTGATGAGATAGGTGGCCAAGTTTGCCACAATTGTAGCAATCCATCTCGGAAATTGGCTTTCTTCTTGAGCTAGTGAAGAACTTCTTCTTCTTGCCGTCAAACTTGATGCCACTCTTGTTTAGCTTCTTTAGCATCTTGGCGGTCTTCTTCACCATGAGAGCAAGACTTTCTTTATCATCTTCATCACTTGAGCTCTCATACTCAAGTCTTGCCTTGCCCTTATCTTGGCTAGCTTTGAATGCTAAGTCCTTCTCTTTCTTCTTTGTAGAGGATGAGCCATCTTGTGGCGTGATGTGCATGTACATCTCATGAGCATTGATCTTTCCCAAGATTTGTGTCGGTGTAGCGGCGGAAAGATCACCTTGATGTAGCACGGTCACAATATGCCCATATTTGTGAATGGGGAAAACACTTAAGATTTTTCTCACAACGTCGGATGGTGACATTTGAGTAAGTCCAAGCCCATTGACTTCCTCTACAAGAACATTTAAACGAGAATACATTTCATTAGCACTTTCTTTGGGAAGCATCTCAAAAGAATTTAGCTTTTTAATCACAAGATGATAGCGTTCCTCACGCTCACTCTTGGTTCCCTCATGGAGCGCACAAACGTTCGACCATAATGCATGGGCGTCTTTGTGGTTCCTTACACGATTGAACACATCTTTGCAAAGGCCTCTAAAGATGGTGTTGCAAGCCTTTGCATTCCATTTTTCATAGTTTACTTCATCGCCTTGAAGTTGTGCGGCATTCTTAGGTGCTGGGAACCCTTGAGAGGCGGCTCTAAGAATTCCAACATCTAGAGCTTCTAGGTAAGCCTCCATGCGAATTTTCCAATATGGAAAATCATCCCCCTCAAAGATAGGAGGAGGTCCATCCCCGTGAGACATCTTGCTCTAAGCGGTTAGGCTTAAAAACGTGAGCACGAGGCTCTGATACCAATTGAAAGGATCAAGATGCCCAAGAGGGGGGGTGAATTGGGCTAATTCTAAATTTTCTTGCAATAATCAAATCCTACGGATAGCCCAATTAACCCCTTGTGCCTAGAAAAAGTGTTTCTATCAAATCAACGCACAAAAGACTTGTAACCTATGTTCCAAACTTACTCTAGCATAGCAATTCTATGAATGTAAAGACGGGTATTGAATTGCTCAAAGTAAATAATTAAAGTAAATGCTCAAAGTAAATGGAGAGAGGAACGCGGCGATGTTTTGCCGAGGTATCGGAGAGTCGCCACTCTCCACTAGTCCTCGTTGGAGCACCCGCGCAAGGGTGTAGCTCCCCCTTGATCCGCGCAAGGATCAAGTGCTCTCTGGTTGATTCTTGACACTCAAATCATGGCGAATCACCCAAAACCGCTCACAACTTGAGTTGGGTCACCCACAAGCTCCGCCGGGTGATCACCAAGCTCCCAATCACCACCAAGCCGTCTAGGTGATGGCGATCACCAAGAGTAACAAGCACAAACTCTCACTTGACCACGTGAAGCCTAATGAGAAGATGGATGCACACTTGTCTACTCTTGATTCACTAATGAGGTTTCACTCTTGGATTCTCAAATCACAAACACCTCACTAGGACCTTGCTCTTCTTGGCACTCACAAACGTGTTTCTCAGCTGTTGGAATGAGCAAAAGTAACTCCACACACGAGTGAAGCTTCTATTTATAAGGCAGCCTGAAAAATGAATCGTTATGAGCTTCTGCGGGATGACCGGACGCTCCGATCGTATTGACCGGACGCCCGTCGGTCAGTTCAATCCAGCAGCAATAGTTTCAAGTGATGACCGGACGACGTCAAGGTCCGGTCGAGACTTGACCGGACGCGTCCGGCCGCTCTTGGATGCTTATCAGAATCGATCCGGACGCCTTTGATACTCGTGGTCCGGTCACCACCGACCGGACACGTCCGGTCACACTTTCTCAAGTCAGACCCTTATTGGAGTTGACCGGACGCTGGCCCTCGGCGTCCGTCACATTGACCTTTCAAATCGGCGTCAAATCACACCAGACTTGTTCTCTCTCGGTCAAATGAATCGACGGACCTCAAGCCGCCAGCGTCCGTCAAGTCGCCGAGCCAGCCATGTCCGGTCAAGATTTGACCCTCCATTCACTTTCAACTCTCGATCATATGAGAATGAAGTTTGCTCCAAAGGATCTTAGGCATTCATAGGAGCTACCTAGAGCTAGTTTTAACAAGTGTGCACCACACCTAACTCACTAGACTCAACTAGGTCAAGCTACCCGTTCATACCCCCCTTAATAGTACGTCCAAAGGAAAAAACAAAGTCCTAAACTATTCTAAATATCTCTCCAACTCCAATCGACACTTAGAACTAGTCATCCTTAACCTTGTCGTTAATCCTTTGAAAACCGAAACGATTTCTATCGTAGGGGCATGACAACCTCGATTGCCCAATCGATCTTCATTACCATGACCTAACTTTATATGCCTCTGCAAAACATATGTTAGTCATAGTAATCTTGTATTGACATTAATCACCGAAATCCAACTAGGGGCCTAGATGCTTTCAATATGTATATCTTGTCATTCATTCATGGGCCATTTACTGGAAACATTGGCAACGCACAAGAAACAGGGCAGGACAATATCTCTCACCCGCCGCGCTTTCTTCTAATCTGGCGTACTACGAAAATTCGTGTACCGTACGTGGCTAAAACATTCCATTTGCTTTTCGGCTGTTTCTTCGGAGTTGAACAACCGGTTAAGGGCCCAAAAACACTCAAACAGCAGCTATGAAGTCGCCCAGGAGGAGTTTGTGTGTGTGTGTGAGAGAGAGAGGGGAAAAGCAGCATGCATGGTGCGTGTGTTTCGTCCAGCTCCATGCATGGAATGCAGGGCGGCAGCGTGTACTCACTGGTCACTGCATGCCATGAATCGTTCTGCTTCTGCATGCCATGCACCGCTGCACGCCAGTGCGCTACAACATTCTTCCTCTGCTGCTGGCCTGAGCCCTGAGCCCTGAGCCCTGGGCCCTGGGCCCTGGGCTGGCTGCTGGCTTGGCCTTGGCTTTCCTTTCCTTTGTAGGCAGGCAGGCAGGCACTCGCTGGATCATCTTTTGCTTTTGCTTTTGCTTTTGCTTGCTGCTGCCTTTTATATTTGTCGCGGGTCCTCCAATCCATCCTCCTATCCGGCAGCGGCAGCAGTGAGAGCTGAGAGCTGGGAGCTGGGCCGCCGTGCGCCGTGCGCCGTGCCCGTGGACCGTGGTGGGGTGTGCTGGATCACCTCTCGATTCCAGGAGCAGTACGTCGGAGGGACCTATTCTGCTCCATCCATCGCCATCCTCATCATCCTTGAAAAGAAGAGAAAGGAGCACCCCTGATCGCGACTCGCCAAGATCGGACCTCACCTCTTACTCTCTCTCTCTCTCTCCCGCCATTGCATTGCATTGCATCGCCATCGATCCATGATTCACCTACCTAGTGAGTAGTGAGAAACCTTATTGGCTCGCCGGCCGGCAGCTTCACCTTCACTGCTAGCTCTGCTCTCCGATCCCGGCCGCGGCCGGCCACCCATGGCTCTCCTCATCCTCCTCCTCCTCCTGCCCATCTGCTTCCTCTCATCTTCCTGCCTCGTCCTCGCCACTATTCCAACGCTAGCCAGCCAGGCCGCCACCCTGCTCTCCCTCAAGGACTCCTTCTCGCCGCCGCTCCCGCCGCAGCTGCGCATCTGGACGCTCGCCAACTACGCCTCGCTCTGCTCCTCATGGCCCGGCGTCGCCTGCGCCCCCGGTAGCAACCGCACCGTCGTCTCGCTCGACATCTCCGGCTACAACCTCTCCGGCACGCTGTCCCCCGCCATCGGCGACCTCGCTGGCCTCCGTTTCCTCTCCGCCGCCGCCAACTCCCTAGCCGGCGACATTGCGCCCGCCATCGCCGCCCTCCGCGACCTGCGCCACCTCAACCTCTCCAACAACCAGTTCAACGGCACCCTGGACGCCGTCGACTTCTCCGCGATGCCCAGCCTCCAGGTGCTCGACCTCTACGACAACGATCTCGCCGGCGCGCTTCCCACCCTCCTCCCCGCGGGCCTCCGCCACCTCGACCTCGGCGGCAACTTCTTCTCCGGCACCATCCCCTCCAGCTTCGGCCGCTTCCCCGCCATCGAGTTCCTCTCCCTCGCCGGCAACAGCCTCTCCGGGGCCATCCCGCCCGACCTCGCCAACCTCTCCACGCTGCGCCACCTCTTCCTCGGCTACTTCAACCGCTTCGACGGCGGCATCCCGCCGGAGCTCGGCAGGCTCACCAGCCTCGTCCACCTCGACCTCGCCAGCTGCGGCCTCCAGGGCCCCATCCCGGCCTCGCTCGGCGACCTCACCGCGCTGGACACGCTGTACCTGCAGACGAACCAGCTCAACGGCACCATCCGCCGTCGCTCGGCAACCTCACCGGCCTTAGGTTCCTCGACGTCTCCAACAACGCGCTCACCGGGGAGATCCCTCCCGAGCTCGCCGCGCTCAGGGACCTCAGGCTCCTCAACATGTTCATCAACCGCTTCCGCGGCGGCGTCCCGGACTTCCTGGCCGACCTCCGTTCCCTGCAGGTCCTCAAGCTGTGGCAGAACAACTTCACGGGCGCCATCCCCGCGGCGCTCGGCCGCGCCGCGCCGCTCAGGGAGGTGGACCTGTCCACGAACCGGCTGACGGGGAGGTGCCCCGCTGGCTGTGCGCGCGCGGGCAGCTGGAGATCCTCATCCTCCTCGACAACTTCCTCTTCGGGCCGGTGCCGGAGGGGCTGGGCGCGTGCCCGACGCTCACGCGTGTGCGGCTGGGCCAGAACTACCTCACGGGGCCGCTCCCGCGCGGCTTCCTCTACCTGCCGGTGCTCACCACCGTGGAGCTGCAGGGGAACTACCTGACGGGGCGGCTGGAGGAGCAGCAGCAGGAGGATGCCCCCGGCGCCGACAGCAGGCTGTCGCTGCTGAACCTGTCGAGTAACCGCTTCAACGGGTCGCTTCCGGCATCCATCGGCAACTTCTCGTCGCTGCAGACGCTCCTCCTCGGCGGCAACCAGCTGGGCGGCGAGATCCCGCGGCAGGTGGGGCGGCTGAAGCGGCTGCTGAAGCTGGACCTGAGCGGCAACAACCTGACGGGGGCGGTGCCCGGCGAGGTGGGCGAGTGCACGTCGCTGACGTACCTGGACCTGAGCGGCAACCGTCTGTCCGGCTCGATCCCCGTGCGGCTGGTGCAGATCAAGATCCTCAACTACCTGAACGTGTCGTGGAACCTGCTGAGCGGCAGCATCCCGCGGGAGCTGGGCGGCATGAAGAGCCTGACCGCCGCCGACTTCTCGCACAACGACCTGTCCGGGCGCGTGCCGGAGAACGGGCAGTTCGCCTACTTCAACGCGTCGTCGTTCGTGGGCAACCCGGGGCTGCAGGTGGTGAATCCGAAGCAGCAGCCGCCCTGGGGAGGGATCGGCGGGACGACGCAGGAGCAGCAGCCGGGCTCTGGCTCTTCGTCTTGGTCGGCGGCGGTGGTGGGGCGTCTGAAGCTGCTTGCGGCGCTGGGCCTCCTAGGCTGCTCCGTGGCGTTCGCTGCGGTGGCCGTGGCGACGACGCGCTCCGCCATGCTCCGTCGTCGTCGGTCGTCGTCGAGCCGGCGGTGGCGCATGACGGCGTTCCAGAAGGTGTCGTTCGGGTGCGAGGACGTGGTGCGGTGCGTGAAGGAGAACTGCGTGGTGGGTCGCGGCGGGGCCGGGGTGGTGTACCGCGGGACGATGCCCGGCGGGGAGTGCGTGGCGGTGAAGCGGATCGTGTCGGCGGAGGGCGGAGGGTTCCAGGCGGAGGTGGAGACGCTGGGGCGGATCCGGCACCGGCACATCGTGCGGCTGCTGGCCTTCTGCTCGGGGCCCGAGGCGAAGCTGCTGGTGTACGAGTACATGGTGAACGGCAGCCTCGGGGAGGCGCTGCACCACCGTGACGGTGACGGTGACGGTGCTGGCGTGCTGGCGTGGGCGTCGCGGCTCCGCGTGGCGACGGAGGCGGCCAAGGGGCTTTGCTACCTGCACCACGACTGCTCGCCGCCGATCCTGCACCGAGACGTCAAGTCCAACAACATCCTGCTGGACGCGCGCATGGAGGCCCACGTGGCGGACTTCGGGCTGGCCAAGTTTCTGGGCGGCAACGGCAGCGGCGCCTCCGAGTGCATGTCCGCCGTCGCCGGATCCTACGGCTACATCGCACCAGGTACATCACCTTGTTTTATCTGTACGTCGTCGTCCACCATGCATATGCATCGTACCTCGTACGTCCCGTATACTGGCGTAGTAGCAAGCATTATTGGCCTATTGCCAACTAGCAAGACGACATGCATGTGGTTTGTGGATGCACGATCATGTCGCAGCCGCAGGTAGGTGGAGTAGCTAGATTAGATCGATCATCAGAGCAGAGGTAGTAGTGACTAGGGACCGTGACGTGATGGTCATGGGTCATAGCTGTGCATCCTCCCTCCAGAGTCCAGGCTTGAGTACCAGGAGTGTCCTAGGTATGCCAATGCATGCATGGTCCAGCAGCCGTTGTCTGCATGCACACGAATCGATATCCTCTCTTGTCGATGTGTAGTACTAGTAGAATATGGAACCCCTGCCTGCCAAAATCCCAAAACACTGCAACTCCGATGACGATGAGGCGATGATGATGATTTGACGACGCAGGGAGGAGAGCTCCATCCAGCTCCTCAAAGGAAGAGCTCGCTTTGCCTTTGCCTTTGCCTTTGCCTTTGCCTGCCCAGCCCCAGCACCATCCATCCTCTTTTTTACCACTTTGCCTCTCCACTGATGATACGCTGCTCCCTGGCTCGGAGAATGAACCCTATCCAGCTGGAGTAGCTTTTTGACTGGACAGACTAATCATGCATGGTTCCAATATATACTCGCCGTTATACATCCTTTAATCGAATACTGTAACTGCATGAGAAAAGCAAGTCAGATGGCTAGCAACAACGTACTTTATGTAACTAATCATGATGCATGCCTGCAGAGTACGCGTACACGCTGAAGGTGGACGAGAAGAGCGACGTGTACAGCTTCGGCGTGGTGCTGCTGGAGCTCCTCACGGGGCTGAAGCCGGTGGGCGAGCACCTCGGCGACGACGGGGTGGACCTGGTGCAGTGGGCGCGCGCCCGGAGCTCATCGGCAGGCGGCGGCGTGCTGGGGCTGCTGGACCCTCGCCTCGGCGGCGACGTCCCGGTGGCGGAGGCGGCGCATGTGCTGCTCGTGGCGATGCTGTGCGTGCAGGAGCACAGCGTGGAGCGCCCCACCATGCGCGACGTCGTCCAGATGCTGCAGCAGGCCAGGCACGCGGCGGGGCCATCGCTTGCTGCTGCCGCCACCGTGCCACGGCAGCATCAGGAAGGATCGGCGGTGTAGCTCCAGATCAGCCCCTTAGCAATCGTCCTACGCATGCATCGATCGATCGATATGTACTGTACGTACTACAGTAGCTATATAGTGGAGTAGTATATCTCATCTGGCCTCAGTCGAGTGATCCAATCAACTCGCCGACGCCGACGACGACAACCGGCCGTTCCAGCGCCATGCACAACCTGGCGTGGTGCAACGGCTTCAGGCATGGCGCATCCTAGCTAGTCCTGCAGATGCAGGGTGCAGAGTCGGATGTTGTTCCATCCGTCCACCATCTATCGGAATTCGGGAAGTCGGCATTATCGCTCCCTGCCACTGCCATGCATGCCGCATTAATGTCCCTGTCAACACTAAAACCAGCAACAACAGCGCTCTTTGTCGAGTGTCTCTCTCTCCCTTGCCAAGTGTTCCGGATCGGATGCTCAAAGCACGCCATTTGCATTGTGAAAACCATAAGACGAAGGTCAAGATCAAACGGACAGGGATTAATAACTTTCCCCCGCCTCTGTCCTATTTGCTCTTTGAGACACGTCTCCACTTCTTTATATTAGTAAAGCAGCCTTTTGGAGTTCAGCTCCACAAACAGCTTAAAGCTATTTTAATAAACTGCTTGTCGGCAAAACAACTAACTCTACGTGTGAAACTCCTTAAAACATATACCTATAATGTAAACATCGGAGGAGAGGAAGAAGAACATGACACTGCAAAGACGTGCAAGACAAGAAATAATTACGAGTAATGTTTTTCAAGTATTCAACAACACGTACTCTCAACGAACAGCGATTGGCTTAGATAGCCCTCTCAACACATTGGCTGACTGACATGAGCCGCAAGGTGCAGGCAATACAAAATGTGCACGCAAACACTAGCTAGCTGGACCAATCTTTACCGATCAGGCGTGTGTTGGGCTTCACGGCCCGAGAACTCCTTCTGGTTGGACGCCCAAGACTCCGACTGCGCTAGGTTCACGCAGGGTCCCATCACAACAAGCTGAGATTAGGAGAAGCGGTTAGTTTCTGCTTCATCCCATCCTAAAACATGTGTGAAGCTGTTCTCTGCAAAAACCAAAAAACAAAAAACATGTGAACCTGTTTAAAAACATATATACCTTAATTTGTCAACCCAAATCTCCCGCTCACCACGTCACAGCACCATACTCAGACGGTCCATGTCCATGTAGGGACTCGCAGCGTCGCACACGCCACCGGAAGTCTCTATATCCAACAGTCCATCGTTGTCCTGCTCTCACCGGCCAATTCTTCACCATCTCCTCCATCTGGCCCTGCTCACACCATCAGGGCGCTTAAAATCCAGCCCACCTCGCACCACATCGTGGTATGGCATGGCATGGCGCGGCTTGAGCACGCTCAGCCACGCCACGGCTCAGCTCGACGCGCGCACGTGTGGCACATATAAACCATCTATTTGAGTTGATTTAATATTTAGTCAAAATCTCACACATAACTAAGAACTAATGTACCTAGCATTTTAATATGGGTCTTATATTTTATTTGATTTAATTGAAGTAATAATGGCGTGAGCCTAATTAAATCCAACATTTCCCACCAAATTATAGGGCATATATGGAATGATCTTAATTCTTTGCTCTTTGATATACCAATGTCTCAATTGATACTATTAACTTGAACATCCACCGATAACAGATGTTACACTTCTTCACAACTGAACAATGGACTATACCTTAAATTTGATAGTTTTGTGCGAAACAAGTTTCACCTAATTAAGTTCTTTACTTATACTAGGCTATCAAAAGAATCCCCTGTAGTTGGAGCATATAGGTCAAATTCTAGGGTCTTTGAGATATATTATCCAAATCTCAAAACCTATGACTAGAACTCTAGAAATCGAACTCATATATGCGTGGTTCTCATAAATGGTGTTACGTAGGATAACATCTCTGCTTCAATAAGACACTTGGATCACATTTAGGTGTAAACAGACCTGCCGCGCAGAACGGGAGAGAAGTGCATCTTAGAGGACATGGACCTTGTTAAGGGTGAAAGCCCTAGTTTGGTTTTGGATAATTGATGAAACCTAAACACTAACCTTTGTCATGAGTGATGATATGAGCTAGGTTGGTGCAATCCAAGTGAGAAGCATGGTGGCACTCAAATGGTGATGTTGATCACATGAAATGATGAGATGGCCACATGTGATAATGATCAAGTGCTCAACTTAGAAAAGAAGAAAGAGAAAAACAAAACCCTATGGAGATCAAGGCAAATGTATAATTAGGGATTTTGTTTTAGTGATCAAGACACTATAGAGAGTGTGATCACATTTAGGATAGATAGCCATACTATTAAGAGAGGTTCTTAACTAGACAATTCGGTCATCTAGTGCCACTAGGTGTTGGACTTCATGCATTGCATTTAAGCCTAGTACACATCAGAGAGCAAGCGAAAATATTTATGGAAAATGTTTCGAAAGGTGCTAACTTGGCTCTAACATGTTTTGAGAAAACAATTTGAGAGTTAGCATCTCTTGCAAAGTAGTGTTAGACTGCTTGTGGATCGAATCGAGAATAAAAAACACAGCTAACGGAGGTTTTTACCTCGGGTGGTCACCACCATGGGTGAGGCGGTGCACCGCCCAGGCCTGTCCGGTGCCCGCTTGGACATGGCCGAGAGCAGCAGCTTTGAGGTGGTAACCGGATGTGGCAGAACCGCCTAATCTAATGCCTCCCAGGAGTACTTGTCTTCCATTAGACACTAAGTACTCAAGAGAGGACACTAAACTACACAGTTTCGTCGAGCACACCCCAAGAAAGAACTCGAAAATCCATATTTTTCCATCAGGATCATAAATAAGAGATTAAAGCTTACAACATTCTTAAGTCATTTCTTACATCACTTTATTACAGTAGTAGAATATTACCTCAATTGATTATAACAACGGAATATAACAATGTTATCAGAGTTACAGAGGAAGCAAAGATTAATTTAATGACATGGTGGAGCATTAACATAGTGGACAATTTATACAAGAGATGCTAGCAGATTTTACATCTTTTCTTATAAAAAAACCTTTAGTGAGGGTTATAAATAAACACTATGGTCGTAGCAGAAAAGAAATCCTCTCTGAGCCCACTAGGAGGTTTCCACACACAAGAGTCAGCTCTACGTATCCTCCAGTCACCTGCATCAGGGGGAATAAAACCCTGAGTACTCGATTGTACTCAGCAAGACTTACCCGACAGGAGAAAAATAAATGACTCTAAGGATATGCAAGGCTATCTGGCTTGTGGGTTATTGCATCTGTAGGAAGCATTACTAAACGCGCGTCCTTATAGTCAATTTTATTAGCAGTCATCATTAGTTCATTAACTAACTATTCTATGTAAGCACCTATGCTACTTTCAAGCAGGTGGTGAGCAATCAGAACCATTTTACCATCTTTCATATTTTAGTTCTTACTACGGTGCTAGACCGTAGCCAAGTCGTTACCGTCTCATAGAAACGGTGATTTGTAAACCAATGTATCCTAGCTGGGTACCCCGAAACACACGTCCCATTTATACCCCATGCACAAATAAGACCAACCCATTCCACTTCTATCACAGGGTCCAGGTCCTCATCTAAACTTGGACTCCAAGCCTCCACACTTGAGACCCGGTCTCAGTATGGTGCTTAGACCTCCACCTTTTCCCGCCTCAAATCAGTCGGTCTAGAAAGAGCTGAAACCCATGACAAGAGCGTAACGAGCCTTTCCGCTCCCATAAGCAAGTATGTGCTCAGGATAATAAGTCTGTGACCTGACTACCATCCACAGCAACAGACGGTCCTCAATCGACACAGACGGAACAAGTGCAATCCGAGCCTCGCTCGAATGCCTAACCAAGTCCAAATCCAAGTACCATTTAGCCCGATCTCCAATTATCATTCATATATATTTTATGTGATAGTAATATAATAACAACAATAATATCTTTCCTATCTCTCGCGAGTGACAGGTAATCACTCGACTTCTATCGAGTTCTATAGCATAGCAATCTACACAATCCTGACATACTAGTAGGACTCATAGGATTAGGATATATATGCAAGTGGTTTTCATTCAACTTCTTAAAACTTAATGCACAAACATAAAATAAAGTGCAGAATAATAGGGGCTATGCAGCGGGGCTTGCCTGGGTAAGATATAACCAAAAATTACCATTCCATCATAGTAACACGATCATCAAGGCACCATCTTTTTTTGCTGCTTCAGTTGACTCCACGATCTATCGTTGTTCCTATTATGATATACGTGGATGCAATGTAGAGACGCAATTAATCAACGATAACCGCAACTCTTAAATATACGATTACGCTCCGTAAGCTAACGAGCTAGATTTAATGACTAACGTACTAGTCTACGTATCCACGTCGTCAAATAAGTCTTTGTCTCTAGAAAAATATTTTAGTTCTAAAATCCCAAGATGTTTCGGCATTTTATTGATTAAACATATATTTTTGAACTAGGAGTCATTTAGCTACCTTAGCAAACTAATTATTATGGAGCTATAAAAATTATAGTGAGCACCTAATAATGTGAGAAATTTATAATAAAAGTTTTAGAGCCAACACTATCACCAATTTATCACAAAGATTCTTACAAGTTTATATCTTACAATATTAAGCATCTTAAATTAATTAGATAACTCCTAGAAATATTATAAAACTATGTTAATAAAATATACAAGCAAATAGATCATGATTTTAGAAACCTAAGAAAATTGATTTCATAATTTTTGGCCAACTACATAAATTTATATTGCATTTATAAGTTTACCTTAGAAACTAAATTAGAAAATGCTTAGAAAAGAAAAAGGGCCGGCAGCAACCCCATCTGGCCCGACAGCCCAGCGCGGCACGGCTGCGCGCGCATCATGGCGGCCCAATACGGCCTAAGGTCGGGGGCGCTCACGCGCATTGGCTGTTTTGCAGAAAGGCCCCCGAGCTTTCAAAGATTAATACGACTACTATACCACTATTCCTACGGTC